CAACTCATAGCGACCTTGTATAGGGTTTCCGAAAAGCGGCTGGTGAGTTTGAACTGCTAACCTTGCAGTTCAAACCGACCTTGAAGTCCAGTGCATTGCCCTGCAAATTAAATGTTTGAGCAAATACAGCAGGCTAATTTGTAAATTGTTAATTTTGTATGGCCCATGAATAATGTTTTAAATTCTGGCAGAAAAAAAGGTTCTGCACCTCTGCCCTAGATTAAAAGTATCACCTCAGCAATGCCTTCTAAAATACAGTTTGAAATATAAATGCATTTGGCCTGGCTTCTACTCTCCGAATGTCAGAAAACTTGGACTGTCATGAGTGGAATTTTTCTTTCTTTTAGGTAAATGTGTCACGGTCTGATACTCTTGGGAAAGGTGGAAAAACCCGATCTAGGACACGCAGCCTCAAGCATGAAGGAAGGGCTCTAAGGGGCGGTCTGGCACCAAAGCACTGAAGCGAACCAACCCATCCTGCCTCTGAGTGAATTATTTATGTGCACTTCCTGAAAAGTACATCCCTGTTGTACATCTAAGACGTAAAGCTGAGAGTTCACCGCTAAGGCTGCGCAGTTCCCCTTAGCAGGGGAAGGGAAGGAAGACGCAGAATCAGCATCTCAGGGGTTTTCAGTCCGAGGTCAGCTGGGAGGGCCTCGCCTGCTGCACTTGGGTTCAGTCCCCACGGACTGGGAGAGGGTTGTGCTGTCTGGGTATCCACCCAGCAGCTACGGGAGCGCTCCTTCAGTGCCATCCTCGTACACCACGGCAAACGACGTGGCTTTCAGACCTTTCCAGTCTCCTTTTTCCCACGCTCCGTACCTCACAAGGAGCCGTGGTGGCGCTGCAAGTTAAGCGTTGCCCGTAAGAGCGCCAGTTCAAACCGAAAGAGAAAGATGCAAGATTCAGTCAGTCTCAGGGAGCAGATTCTGCCCTGTTCTATAGAGTCTCACTGAGTCAGCTGCGGTATTCTGGGGTTACCGACCTCACTCTTGGCCCTCAGCAGTCTGAGAACGGGATAGAGTCATGCTTCAGGTACAGTGCGCCCTTTTGCCCGCTCCTCCACCAGGTCAAAGACCCAGCCTGGGCGTCCCCAAGGCGCACAAGGAATCTCTGTGACTCCTCTTCTGCGCGCAGGCCGGTTCCCCCCAGGTCGAGCAGGGATACCCGTCCTGTAACTCGTTGGTCAGCCCCAGGGGTCAGAGAAGCTCAGTCTACTGGTTCGGTCCCCGAGCCCGGTGCGGCTGAGGCGCTGGAAAGCGAACGTCGCCCCGTTTCCCGGCTTGGCCTCGCCGCCACCACGCTTCGCTTTCTAGATCAGAGGCGCCCGGCTGGGTAGATCGCGAGGACAGCACAGAGGCGCACCGCCCGCGGCCCTTCCCTACCCTGTCGGGCGGCCCCGAGTGTGCGCGGGCAGAGACGACCCACCCAGGGGGTATCCACGAGGCCTGCTCCCTGCGCCCCCCATGGAGCGACCGCCCGGTCACGTGGCCTGCGAGCGCCCCCGCCGGGCTGGTCACGTGACGGCGGTGCGCGGTTGCCTTGGTAGCGGCTGCGGCGGCCAGCGGGGCGGAGGCGCTCGTGGGACGCCGGCCGGAGGGAGGGGGCGGTGTTCTGGGCCCTGTGGGGCCACGGGGCCACTCTGCTCGCTGTCGCCGCCTGCAGCAAGCCCCGAGTCCGAGCCGGGCGGGGCGACGGGGCAGCTCCGGTGAGTGCTTGATCGTGGGGGTCTGCCGAGTGGGGGGGACCCCGCCCAGCCGGAAGCCCGGAATTGGAGAGGGGAGCCCCGGGGCCTCCGCCCGGGCAGGTTGGGCTTGGGGATGGGGCAGAGAGAGAGGACGGCTCTGAGGCTGGGGGCGGGGTGTGTGAGTGTGTGTGAGAGACAGACAGACAGTGAGTGTGTGTGTTAGTAACAGACGGTTTCCTTGTGCTTGGTAAGCGTTTGCGTGGCACATGCCTTTGCTCTAGATGTTTAAAGGAAGTCTACTTCCTAAAACCGACCTTTTGGAAATGTTTCAGACAGACTTATCCAAGGATACACCTCCTGTTTGGTGATGGTGGTGGTGATTATGTGCAGTGGAGTCGACTCCTAACGACCCAGCATAGGGTTTTCGAGGCTGTAAATCTTTACAGGAGCAGAAAGCCTCAGCTTTCTCCCGTGGAACAGTTGGGAGTTTCGAACTGCTGATTTTGAGGTTTGCAGCCTGATTCGTAACCACTACGCTACCAGAGCTCCTTACTGTACAGGGTATCCAAGGCTAAATCTTAACAGAGCCCACAGCCTTAGCGTTCTCCTGCCTTAAGTGAGAGAGGGTCCCACTACAAGACCACTTTCCTCAAGCTGCCCACTCAATTAAAAACCTTCAAGGTTAAGCCAGGTGTGCATGCTTTGAAGCTGCTACCGCCTGACTGACTAGCCCTACGCCCCCTTCACCAGATTGGGGACTAAACTCTGCTCCTCCAGCCCCACACAAGGCCTGGAGCAGGATAGGACAGAGGCGCCTTCAGGTGGGCAGGAGTCAGGTCTTGGGGGAAGTGGGGTTCCTCTGGAGGAAGCGGCTTCCAGATGTCTCATGACCCAGGCTCCCAGCAGACAGGCCCTGCCCGTCCTGAGAACACAGAGCTGAGACTCCCTTGATGCTTCTCCAGAGGCCCAGCTCACGTCTCACTGCCCTGGAAGCACTCTGTCTCCACACTAAGCTCCCTCAGTGGTGGCCCCAGGGTTTCAAGAGCCTTCACCCCACACAGCTGCCCTTCATCCCTTTGGAGGCACAAAGCCCTCATGTGCCACCATCATACACCCGTTTCACTGGGCGCCCAAACCAGATAGAGCCAGCAATCCTTAGCTCCATTGGAACCCTGTATCCAACACAATTGCATTGTGTGGTGTGTGCCGTGCCCTGGCCCAGCTCCACCTGCGACCTGCATGCTATCTATCATTCAGCAGGATTTCTCAGCCCCACCCTTACAACCAGCCTTCTGCCATATCCCCAGTAGGATGGGAGGCCCCAGTGCACCTTGTTGAGTTTAATAGCCCTGTGTCTGAGGAAGGACCCCTCTTGGCCAGGGCTGCCTTCACTACTGGTGTCCTTGTCCCAGCAGCTTACTCCCTGGTGTTGCCTGCAGGGATCTTCCCTCTGCTCCAGCCCCTCCACTGTGCCCTCCACCCTTCCCAGTCCCTGGACTACAACAGTCAGGTACCCGAGGGCAGTGAATTTCCTCTGGTGGAGTCTCATTTCTCATCTTTGATGGTCAAGGATGCAGGATGCAAGATGGAGAGACAGATGTTGTATGGTACTTTCCTTGCCTTTCACACCTCCCCACTGTGTATTGTCTGCATCATAACACAGGGTTGTTTCTGTGACACAGAGAGGGAAAGGAAGAAAAAAAGTGCATTTCCAAATGACGACATTTAAAATTATTTGGCACTGACCCATGGATTGGGGAGTGAGCACCATTTCTTGCAATTCTCCCCGTGGGAGGGGCCATTCCAGTGATTAATGTGTAGAGTGCAGGGCTTCTGGCTGCAGAGGCAGGCCCACAGAACCTGAGTGTAGCTCCCAGGTGGTTGTTCCTATAGATGTTCTCATAGATGGCATCCTCTGGCAGAGCCAGAAGGGCATGGAGTTGGTCCCCCAGGCTGCTGAGAGGAATGAAGAGAACCTTTTTCCCACCTCCGGAGTCCTGGTGTGATGCTGGACAGCAAGGTCTGTTTGAACCTAAAGGTCAGTGGTTCAAACTCACCAGCTGCAGATCGTAAATCCTATTCAGGGTGGCTCTGAGTCGGAACCAATTCTACTGCACTTAACAGCCACCTTCCACCTCCAGAGGCCTTTTCTTTGAGAGCTTGGCATTCATGGACCATGTTGGGGGCATTTCCTCAGCCCAGTCCTTGCTCCCTGTACCTCAGAAACAGTGATCTGTTTGTAATCTCCTTAAATCAGCTTTTCATGGGGCCTGTGAACCTGAATTGAAGTTTATTCCTGATGCCAAATGAGCTGCAAGGCGCGCCTGTGCCCTTGAAGCACATTCTGCAGATTAATTGGAACGGGACCCTGGTGAGCTGCGGCTCTGGCTGGCCTTGTGGGCTGAGTGAGACCCACAGTCTCCTATTTGGATTAGCGGAGATTTGCATTTGAATTCACAAATGGAGACCAGTCTATCCTGCAATCTTCAGCCTGTGTTAAGTACTGTCAAGCCAGATGTGTTCCTGCCCCCCCCCCCCCACCTCCCCCCAGGGTCTCCAGACTCCATTTCCCTTTAAGAGTTTGTCATTTTGCTCAAGGTTTCCATTGCTACTTAAATGTGGCTTTTCTTGAGTTATATAAATGGAATTTTTTTTTTTTTTTTTTTTTTTTTTAGTGTACACTTTGCTGGTGAAAATTGAAGTTGGGTTTGAGAAAGGAACAGCTTCTTGGAAATGTTTATTTTATTGTGGGCACCTAGACATTGAAAAGCAGTTTTTTGAGTCTTTGGTGAGTTCTAGCTGCACGGGAGTCTAGTAGGGTGGGGCTGTCCCCACTGGGAGATGAGGGAGCGGAGGTGTCGTGTTCAGAATCTCACAGCAAAGCGAACAATCCAGGTTCTGTAATTGAAGGTGAAAGCTTTTCTCCAAACACCGCAGTACTCTGTTCCCTGAAGGCAGGTCCAAATCTGAGGAATTGCCAGGTTCTTCAGGCCAGCCTTGAAATTCCTTTCACCAGTGGCCTGGAGCCTCATTGGAGAATGGGAATGAAAGGCTGGGGGCCAGCTTTGTCCAGGGAGCATCTTTGAAAGTGAGGATGTCTAGAGATGAATGCTGACCCACCACACCTTTGAATTGCCCCACGTTTTGGCTGGGGGGCTGTCTCTGAGACTCCAACCCCACATTCACACTACCTTTGTATAGTGCCCCCTCCCAATGCCCTAGAAGGTTAAATGGTCTTGACTTCTGATTTTTCCAGGTCACGTGGACCCATTTCTAGCATGCCCGAGTCTCTCCCTCTACTGCCCCAAGCCTGGCTCCCACCATGAGTGCCGAGCTCAACGTGCCTGTGGCGCCTTCTACACCCGCCTGCTCTGAGCCCGGCCATAAGGGCATGGATTACCGGGACTGGGTCCGCCGCAGCTACCTAGAACTGGTCACCTCTAACCACCACTCAGTGCAGGCCCTCTCCTGGAGGAAGCTCTACCTGAGCAGGGCCAAGCTGAAGGCTTCCAGCCGGACCTCTGCACTACTCTCTGGCTTCGCCATGGTGAGTGCTGCCATGCGCGTGCGTTGCAAGACGTGGTGGGATTAGGTGATGCTCTGGGGAACATTTCCTCAGGGTCCCCTGACAGTCGGGGTGGACCAGGAGAAATTCACACTCAGGCCCCAGCTCTTCCATGAGGGCCCATTGTCACTGTTAATACCACACGGTTATAAAATAGTACATGCGGGCTTCAAAAAGTTCCTGGACTATGGGATGAAAAGGTGATGGAACTTTTCCAGTCTCCCTCAAGGGCGTAATTACAAACAAAGAAAACCTCACTACCGCTGAGTTAGTTCTAACTCAAAGCAACCCTGTAAGGGCTACTACCTTAGAGGGTTTCCCAAACTGTCATCTCTGTAGGAGCAGATGGCCGCGTCATTCTCCCGCAAAGCGACACCACCAGTCTTTCTGTTAGCAGCCTCACAGTTTACCTCTGTAACCACCAGGGCCCCCTGGCAAAAAGCCCACTGCTACCGAGTCACTTCGAACTCCGCACTCCTTTGGGTGATGAGATTGGCTGGTGGGATTGAACTGTTGACCTCGTGGGTAGCAGTCCAGTGCTTATCCCCCAGCTCCACCTGAGCTCCTTCCACAAGGACTCTTGTTGTGAAGTACCATCAAGTTAGTTCTGAGGCGGAGATCCTCTATTGGGTTTCTGAGGAGTGGCTGCTGGCTTTGAACTGCCAACCATGTGGTTACCAGTGCAGTGATAGGACTCCCACAGGGACGTTGTTGTTGTTGTTGTGAAGTGTGGTTGAGTCATTTCTGACCCATAGTGACCCTGGATAGGGTTTCCGAGGAGCAGCTGGTGAGCTTGAACCGCCAACTTTGCAGTTGAAACTGACTTTGCAGTTCATTAACCCACATTGCCACACCAAGAATCCTATGGTCCAGTATTAGTGGGAGTTAATTAAATTTCCCCACTGTACAGAGATTCCTGGAGAAGGGTACCTATGACTACCCCTTCCTGGGCAACCCCCAAGAATGTGCAATTCAGAAATTTGTGCAGGAACTGCAGGGCTGATTGGGGTGTGTGTTCAGGTGATACAGCAGAGCCTGTGACTTGACCCCCCTGTCAGCTGGCACTTTCCTCATCATCAAACCCCAGGACAAGAGTCAGCCTCCGACAGAGAATCACAGGCCCCCTCCTGTTGATTCCAAAGCCCCCAGCCCCACAACCCTCTGGAGAACTGTCCTGTAGTGAGGCTGCCGGGATCCAGTGTGAGCCTGGGCGAGGCTGGTCCTTGTCACTGGGACCATCTTTTTCTCTGCCAGATGCTCAGAGATCCTGTTGGACTGGCAGGGATTTCTTTTTTAACTTTTTATTGTGAATTGAGTGAAGGTTTACAGAGCAGAGCATTAGTTTTACATTCAACAAATCACACACTTTGCTTCATTACAATGATTGCAATCCCCTCCATATAGCAACAGTTAACAGATCTGTTCACTTTAATCATTGCATTCCTCCCTGTGTCTCCTGCTACCTTCATCTTTCTTCTGCTAACCTCCCTCTTGTTGTATATTGCCTGCCCTGTCACGCATGTCAACATGTGTCTACCCTCTAGCGCAGGGGTAGGGAACCTTTTTTCTGCCAAAATTTGTAACATCATTCACGGGCCATACAAAATTACAAACTTAAAAATTAGCAATATTTGGGCAGACATTTAATTAACTCATCTCTACAGCAGTTGGAAGGAGCTCTGGTAGCGTAGTGGTTACTAATTGGGCTGTGAACTGCAAGGTCAGCAGTTCAAAACTACCAGCTGCTTTGCGGGAGAAAGATGAGGCTTTCTGCTCCCGTAAAGATTTATGGCCTCGGAAACCCTGTTCAGGGTCGCTATGGGTCGGAACTGACTCGATGTCACTTAACAACAACACAGCAGTTGGAGACTACCAGCTGTTCTGTAGGAGAAAGAGGAGGCGTTCTGCTCACGTAAAGATTTACAGCCTCGTCAACCCTGTGCAGGGTCGCTGTGGGTCGGAACCCACTCCACGGCACTTAACAACGTGATGGCCGGAGTCCTGGTGTGGCGCTGTGGGTTAATGTGCTAGAAATGCAAGGTCAGCAGTTCAAACCCACCAGCTGCTCGTAAGAAACTCTATACAGGCCCAGTATGGGTCAGAACCAACTTGACAGTACTTAACACATTTTAAGTACTTTTGTATCTGGATTGAATTCTGGGTGAATTGTTGTCTGCTGTAGTTGGTTCTCAGTCCTAAGAACACCCTTTAGCATTTTTGTAAAGTTGGTCTGGTTATTACAAATTCCGACTCATAGCCACCGCATAGGGTTTCTGAGGCTGTAAATCTTTACAGGAGCAGAAAGCCTCATCTTTGTCCTGTGGAACTGGTAGTTTCGAACTGCTGACCTTGACGTTAGCAGCCCATGATTCCCATCACATTAAAAAGAGAAGTTTAGATGCCACTATTACAATCATGGCTTGCTTACTATGTTACAGAAGAATTATAGTATGTTGCATTAATATAATTCTGGCCTGTTGCTTGGGGGTTTTTTGTGTGTGTTTGTTTAACTTTGGAAAACCAACCCTGAGAAGCTTTGCACAGAAGTAATGCAGTAAGAATAAGGTTTCCTTCCTGTGTGGGGCCCAGGTCTCAGATGTTACTTCCTGTCTGCAGCTGTCTCTTGAAGACCCAGTCTTCCAATTATTTGCATTTCCAAATTTAGGAAAGCATCACCGTTTTTCTAGTCCACAGAATGCTTACCCAAGTTGAAGGCCTCAAGCCCTGTAAATAGGTCTGAGACATAGAGCAGGGTTTCTGCAGAGGGATTTTTGAGACTAACAGGAGCCTCCTGGGATCTCAGAAGTGGTCTTCGAGTAAGAATACGACGACTGGACCTGGCATGGGAGTTCTAGGGCAAATGTATATAATAAGCATTGGACAGTAAACCACAAGGTCCGCAGTTCAAGCATGCAGCCACTCCACAGGAGAAAGAGAAGACTTTCTGCTCCCATGAAGGTTTAAAGTTACTATGAGTCAGAACTGACCAGAAACATTTAACATTAGATATATATTAAGTGCCTCCGAGTGGGTACCAACTCATAGGATCCTGTTTAAAGTTTCTGAGGAGCGGCTGGTGGGTTTGAACCACCAACCTTGCTGTTCGAACTGATCCTACAGTGCCACATGTGGAGTCCCGGTGAGACGCTGTAGGATCAGCAGTGGTCCATTAACCAGGAGGTCAGCAGTTTAAACCCACCATCCGTTCCTTGGAAACTTACACAAAGTTGCTATGCTGTTGAGTTGGAGCTGACTCACAGCAACCCTGTATAGGGTTTCCAAGCAGCAACTGGGTGGGGTTTGAATTGTCCATCGTGCTGTTAGGGGTCCATTGCTGATCCTACAGTGCCACTGTGTGTGTGTGTATATATATGTTGTTGTTGTTAAGTGCCGTCGAGTCGGTTCCGACCCATAGCGACCCTGTACAGGGTTTCCGAGGGTGTAAATCCTTACGGGAGTAGAA